CGTGCTTGATGCTTCTATATTGGTTCGGAGTCTTGAAGTGGGTAGAATATAGTTGTGCAAGAGGAAGTATGGGCCAAGAGGCCCTCTGCAGTTACATCCATTCTTATGCATTCATCTCCAATACCCACAGTTTCGTGTTCTGTCTAGTATTTGTCACAAGTTTTGTTCACCTCATCTTAAGCTGTTGCACCATATCACCTCACCCAAATGCGAGTATAAGTATGACGGATTAGCTGACTCTGTTTAGTGTTTACAGGTAACAGTTGTGTGTATAAATAAAAGTGTTTGAAAATGTAATAAGTTATTACGAAACGCGTTCAAGCGTCGCGTCAGACTAGAAATAAAAATGAATTTTGGAGAATTGATTTTTCAATTACCATCGACAGTGAAAAGAAACATAAGAAATATTGAGAAAATTCGTGTTAGAATTATTAATATATATATATATATATATATATATATATATATATGTGTGTGTATGTATATATATATAATATATATACATACACACACATATATATATATATATATATATCTCAAATATAAAGGAGATAAAAATATAATATATCTGTGAGAGTTGTAAGACCTCAGCAACAGTGTGAATGAATCAGCCGAGTCTCCAGACCCAGAGTTCTCCCAAGACTCCGGCCAAGGTGGTCTCCACACAAGAAGTGAACTGTTAGGTAAATTTATGTAAAAGATAAACAACATGGCGTACGACTGGATATGTGTCGGCCTTGGATGTTTACCAGCTCTCACACACCAATAACTGCCCTTGTACACACACACACACACACACACACACACACACACACACACACACACACACACACACACACACACACACACACACACAAGACCTGGGGGGTTGGTATCACGCCAGACCTGTCCCCTGAAGCTCATATCAAGAGGATAACATCAGCGGCATATGCCAGGTTGGCCAACATAAGTACGGCCTTTAGAAACTTGTGTAAGGAATCTTTCAGAACTTTGTATACCACATATGTCAGACCAATCCTGGAGTATGCGGCTCCAGCATGGAGTCCATATCTTGTCAAGCATAAGACTAAACTGGAAAAGGCTCAAAAGTTTGCCACCACACTAGTACTCGAACTGAGAGGTATGAGCTACGAGGAGAGACTACGGGAATTAAACCTCACGTCACTGGGAGACAGAAGAGTTAGAGGGGACACGATCACCACATACAAGATTCTCAGAGGAATTGATAGGGTAGATAAAGACAGACTATTTGACACAAGGGACACACGCACTAGGGGACACAGGTAGAAACTGAGTGCCCAAGTGAACCATAGAGACGTTAGAAAGAATTTGTTCAGTGTCAGAGTGGTTAACAAATGGAATGCATTAGGCAGTGATGTGGTGGAGGCTGACTCCATACACAGTTTCAAATGTAGATATGATAGAGCCCAGTAGGCTCAGGAACCTGTACATTAGTTGATTGACAGTTGAGAGGCGGGACCAAAGAGCCAGAACTCACCCCTGCAAGCACAACTAGGTAAGTACACACACAAATTTTGAAGGAGGCTGCATGAAATGCACCTCACGGCACTGAAAGACAGAAGAGTAAGGGGAGACATGATCACTACCTACAAAATCTCACGAATTGACAGGGTAGATAAGGATAAACTGTTTAACATGGGTAGAACTCGAACAATGGGACACAGGTGGAAACTGAGTACCCAAATGAACCACAGGGACGTTAGAAAGAACTTTGCCAGTGTCAGAGTAGTTAACTGATGGAATGCATTAGGCAGTGATGTGCTGGAGGCTGACTCTATACACAGTTTCAAATGTAGTGACAGAGCCCAGTAGGCTCAGGAATCTATACACCAGTTGATTAACAGTTGAGATGCGGGGTTAAAGAGTCAAACCTCAACGCCAACACAACTAGGTGAGTACACGCCCTCATCAAGACAGCATCAACCTTCAAGAGCCACTTAGTAACCTTGTAGGTGTGTGTGGTATCTCCTCACACAATTATAACCTCTGGGTAAACTGGACCAAAATCCGGTTAAGTGTTTGGAGCAAAAACTATTTCTTTTTGAAGTTGGAAATGTGCGCGCATCTTGTCGCCCTCTGGAGGAAGCCCCCAGCACTCACTGTGAACCCTTCCCAGAGTATTGACCTACAATTATTGATAAAAGAGACGTCTAACATAATATATTAACTGCAGAATGAAGACGGCTGCTGAGACGGTCAGTGGGCGCAAGTGTTCCGGAGAGTGCGTTGTCAACCCATATTAGTTAATATAACACACACACCCGTAATTACCTCCAACATACTCACACTTTTATACCATTCAACCCACCTTCCTGAATTTAGCTCTCGGTCACTATTTCTCTAGTGACCTTGATGGGTACAGGAAGTCGGCGGCATGTCATATGTCCCCCATTGGTGGCAGCGGTGGGATGCACCATTGTAACACCGCTCTTTGTACCACCACTATAATGGTTACTAAACTAATAATGTAAACACTACTTATCCTGAGTAACACTTCCCCATCGGTTGCACTTGATAACTGTTATGAAACACGGTAATGTGAGCTGACATATGATGGTTACACTGGGACTACAAAGTACACTGCCAACAAGGAAATGCTAACACAGGATGAAATACGCTGCCACCATCTGCCTTTGACCACTGAGATTATATCAAGCAACGAGGCAAGAAACATTGCTTGACTTGGAGAGTACTTTCTATGACTGTCATTAATTATGGAAACGGTTGTCAGCCACTATATCCAAAAGGCTAAGAGGATTCAACAATTGACACAGACGGAAAATTTAACATGAGTTTTATTGAGACCAAAATTATATCAATCACCACTTATAAATCCTACTCTAACACTGGCAAGAATTTAAGTAATTTGCACATGGAACAAAACCTCAGAGATCACACACGTTACCTACAGACCTCTGTCTCTCCCTGGCTGAGATGTTCTTCACAGTCCTCTCTGAACCCCGGTGTTCGGCACTCTGTTCTTCCTAAGTCCCTACAGGACCTCTATATACAACCCCCACAGGGGGAGGGGGAGATCTGCTGTTGCTACCTGCCCCAAGAATGAAAAAAAGCTCGGCCACACGTGTACAAACACTCAAGAAATATTTCAATAAGCTTGTTTGACATTCACCATACACTCTTCAAGAGAGGAGTTATTAATTACATGTGTGACTGACCTCTGACCTGGCCAAAAGGGGGAGATCCAGGGATGTTTACACATAAGAATCTGGAGTCTAATTCCCTTGCCTGAAATATTACATACTTGAAACTATGCTGACCAAGACTAACCCAGGAATTTTTAATCAATATACATGATAAACCGGAGGTCATCTGGGCTGACCTCTTGGAGAAGGCTTCCCTGGGTGTGAACTCTAAGGGGGGGGAGGTCCTGGGTGTTACAGTGTACTGTGGTGTTGGTACCCCTGGTGTACTGTGTGGTGTTGGTACCCCTGGTGTACTGTGTGGTGTTGGTACCCCTGGTGTACTGTGTGTGGTGTTGGTACCCCTGGTGTACTGTGGGGTTGGTACTCCTGGTGCGAGCCATTACTATGCACAACAGCCACAAATAACAGTACACGGACACAGGTATGCTCACATGTGTGTGCATACCTGTGTGTGTAGCACTTGAGCTCCGGCTCTTGGGTCCGGCTTTTCAGAAAGGACTGATGGTGATGAGGAGTTGCCCACGCCACTTGACACACCTGTATATGTGTCCATGTATGGAGTCAGCCTCTTGACACACCTGTACATGTGTCCATGTATGGAGTCAGCCTCAGGACACACCTGTATACGTGTCCATGTATGGAGTCAGCCTCATGACACACCTGTATACGTGTCCATGTATGGAGTCAGCCTCAGGACACACCTGTACACGTGTCCATGTATGGAGTCAGCCTCAGGACACACCTGTACACGTGTCCATGTATGGCGTCAGCCTCAGGACACACCTGTACATGTGTACACCTAAATTATTGGGATCGTCTCAAAGCTCTCCAAATGTCCTCACTAGAAAGGAGACGAGAGAGATACCAAATAATATACACATGGAAAATACTGAAGGGACAGGTCCCAAATCTACACAGTAAAATAACAACGTACTGGAGTGAACGACATGGAAGAAAATGCAGAATAGAACCAGTGAAGAGCAGAGGTGCCATAGGCACAATCAGAGAACACTGTATGAACATCAGAGGTCCACGGTTGTTCAACACCCTCCCAGCGAGCATAAGATATATTCCCGGAACAACCGTGGACATCTTCATGAGGAAACTAGCCTGTTTTCTAAAAAAAAAGTGCCGGACCAACCAGGCTGTGGTGGGTATGTGGGCCTGCGGGCCGCTCCAAGCAACAGCCTGGTGGACCAGACTCTCACAAGTCAAGCTTGGCCTCGGGCCGGGCTTGGGGAGTAGAAGAACTCCCAGAACCCCATCAACCAGGTAGGTTGTGTGCCAAGAGTTGGGCAGCAGCCTGGTACAGTTAGTTGGTGAAGTCAGGATATGATATTGGAGTGCTACCGGATTGTAGCAGCTTACTGTCACCCTGTTACGGTTGCAGACAGGGTGACAGTGGACAATAATTCACTAAAAGGGGATTTTGAAGATTATCCCAGACATGGAGAGAGTGGGGAGTCACGGCGGCTCGAGTAGGGTGTGTACTCCAGACAACAAGGCCAATTTTGGAACCGCACTCCTAAATATAATTGACACAAAACCCCTCTCCTAGATCAAAATGCGTACAGGGTGATCTCCCAGGTAATTGCAAGCACTCCTGTGTCCATTGGTGCGCGACCGACGGTAGCGGGAGTGGTTGCTGAGGTCGGCTGTTGTTCTATCAGGGAGTGGTTGGGGTCTCTGTTCGCCAGTACACAAGTAACAGTCTGGTGCAATAACCAGCTTTTTGGGGGTAAGATCCCCCCCCCCCTTGATAACAGTCACTGTGAGGGGCGGGGATGGCGGCGTGACAGGGAGACAGGGACGTACCTGGAGTTGGCAGCAGCAGTATGAGGACACACAAGACTGACAGTCTGGCGCACACTCCACTCCTCTGGTGGTCCATGGCTGCCGCTGGCTCCTTCCTGTGAGATGGGCGCTTCTCTTGTTGTGGAAGGCGTGCCGGCTGTCTGGGGCGGCCTGCAGGTGTGCTGGGTGTTTGAGGCGGCCTGCAGGTGTGCTGGGTGTTTGGGGCGACCTGGCAGGTGTGCTGTGTGTTTGGGGCGGCCTGGCAGGTGTGCTGGGTGTCTGGGGCGGCCTAGCAGGTGTGTTGGGTGTCTGGGGCGGCCTGGCTGGTGTGTTGGGTGTCTGGGGCGGCCTGGCAGGTGTGTTGGGTGTCTGGGGCGGCCTGGCAGGTGTGTTGGGTATCTGGGGCGGCCTGGCAGGTGTGTTGAGTGTCTGAGGCGGCCTGGCAGGTGTGTTGGGTGTCTGGGGCTACCTGGCAGGTGTGTTGGGTATCTGGGGCGGCCTGGCAGGTGTGTTGGGTGTCTGGGGCGGCCTAGCAGGTGTCTGGGGCGGCCTAGCAGGTGTCTGGGGCGGCCTGGCTGTGAGAGAGGGGGGTGTGGGAGGTGGTGGGCGTGACGAGGGCTGACTGGCGCAGGGGTCCTGGGGGTCGGGTGTTGGAGGACTGTAGTTTAACTTCACATTCCCACTTTAGTCAGTAAATGCGACCTGTCTGCGTGTGGTGGTGTTTACTGGCTTAGTCTGTTAGTTGAGGGGGCAGGTGGGGCTCATGTTGGCTCGGGCGTTTGTGTGTTTTGTTTGTGTGGGTGTAGTGAGGTGTGTTGGTCTATGTGTGGGTGTATTGGAGTGAGGTGTGGCGTATTTGGAGTGTGTGTGCGCGCTCCAAGTGTGAGAGGAAGTGTTTCTGCAGCGAAGGATGCCTGGGAGAAGTGCAACAGCTTGAAGTTCGGACATGAAGCGTGTTCTGGTGTACCGGGGTGTCGTGGTGGCGGTAGTGGGGTGTACTGGGGTGTTGTGGGGTGGGGGTGGTAGGGTAATGGTAGTGTGGGTGTGGTGGTTGTGTGTGGCGGGAGAGTGTAGTGGAGGTGTATTGTTATGGCGGGCTGTGTGCTGTCGAAGGTTGGCGTCGCCCCTCGCGCTGCTTCCCTGAAATAGACAAATAAATACAAATATTTATTCCGGTAAAGTACATACATACAAGGTGAGGTACAAAAGTTGATGGATTTATAGATAGATCTAATACATACACTGCCTAAAGCCACTATTACGCAAAGCGTTTCTGGCAGAAAAGTATACAGAGTATACAAAGTACACAGTACACTCAGTCTGGGGGAGACAACATGGGAGTGGGGAAAACTAATGAAACAAAACATATAAGACATGTATTGAGGGCAGATAATATTTTAGGGGAGGTAATTGAAAGATAGTGAGAGAAGTGAGAGAGAGAGCATGAGTGACAGTGAGAGGTGAGGACGCCGCTATAACTACCATCCGCGACACTGCTACCAACCATGCAAGCTCTGCCAGTGTGACACTGTTGACGGTGACAATAGTGAGTGTAAAGGGCACAACACTGGCCACAAGAGTGACGGGTGAGGACGACTGCAGGAACCTGCAAGATAACCTGTACAAACACTGAGAGTGATCCCACACGTGAATGTCGAAGTTCACTCTTAGTAAATACCAGATGACCAGGCTGACGTCCAGCAAGATGGATACTCATAGTACCGTCTGGGAGGAGGGAGGGCTGGAGGGAGGGCTGGTGCAGGAGGGAGGGAGGGCTGGGGCAAGAGGGAGGGCTGGGGCAGGAAGGAGGGCTGGGGCAGGAGGGAGGGAGGGAGGGCTGGGGCAGGAGGGAGGGAGGGCTGGGGCAGGAGGGAGGGAGGGCTGGGGCATGAGGGAGGGCTGGGGCAGGAGGGAGGGCTGGGGCAGGAAGGAGGGAGGGCTGGGGCAGGAGGGAGGGAGGGCTGGGGCAGGAGGGAGGGAGGGCTGGGGCATGAGGGAGGGCTGGGGCAGGAAGGAGGGAGGGCTGGGGCAGGAAGGAGGGAGGGCTGGGGCAGGAGGGAGGGAGGGCTGGGGCAGGAGTGTGCAGCTTTGCACACTTCCTTATCGTTCTCTGTGTATCCCGTCTCCTGTGTAGTATTATCACCTCCTTATGTACCCACACTGTCTTCCTCGTGTGGTTATAGAGTGGTAAGGCCTGGCATTACCAATGTACATCATCTGGCCAAGAGTTAGAGGTGGCAGATGCTGCAACAGTTGCTGGACCAAGTAACAGTTGCATGGCGGCACGCAACACGCAGACCTCCAAGTGTATAATTGCTCTCATTACCCCGGGGTCACCAGCTGCAGAGTTAGAGGAGCAACTCCGCCGCTCTTCATGTGTAACACAACACATATAGACCCGTCGCCGACCCCTGGAGAGTGGTAGGAGCCGGCAGGGGCGGTGTTTACTCTTAGTAAACTTGGGAGCCGGTCGGCCGAGCGGACAGCACGCTGGACTTGTGATCCTGTGGTCCTGGTCCTGGGTTCGGTCCCAGGCGCCGGCGAGAAACAATGGGCAGAGTTTCTTTCACCCTATGCCCCTGTTTCCTAGCAGTAAAATAGGTACCTGGGTGTTAGTCAGCTGTCACGGGCTGCTTTCTGGGGGTGGAGGCCTGGTCGAGGACCGGGCCGCGGGGACACTAAAGCCCCGAAATAATCTCAAGATAACCTCAAGATAGTAACTGTGTTACTGTGTGGCTTACAGCTGTATTACCTGTGTTACTGTGTGGCCAACAGCTGTATTACCGGTGTTACTGTGTGGCCAACAGCTGTATTACCGGTGTTACTGTGTGACCTACAGCTGTATTACCTGTGTTACTGTGTGGCCAACAGCTGTATTACCTGTGTTACTGTGTGGCCAACAGCTGTATTACCTGTGTTACTGTGTGGCCAACAGCTGTATTACCTGTGTTACTGTGTGACCTACAGCTGTATTACCTGTGTTACTGTGTGGCCAACAGCTGTATTACCGGTGTTACTGTGTGACCTACAGCTGTATTACCTGTGTCACACACTGCTGTATTAACTGTGTCAGTGTGACCTAGTGTATTGACTGTGTCAGTGTGACCTAGTGTATTAACTGTGTCAGTGTGACCTAGTGTATTAACTGTGTCAGTGTGACCTAGTGTATTAACTGTGTCAGTGTGACCTAGTGTATTAACTGTGTCAGTGTGACCTAGTGTATTAACTGTGTCAGTGAGACCTAGTGTATTAACTGTGTCAGTGTGACCTAGTGTATTAACTGTGTCAGTGAGACCTAGTGTATTAACTGTGTCAGTGTGACCTAGTGTATTAACTGTGTCAGTGAGACCTAGTGTATTAACTGTGTCAGTGAGACCTAGTGTATTAACTGTGTCAGTGAGACCTAGTGTATTAACTGTGTCAGTGTGACCTAGTGTATTAACTGTGTCAGTGTGACCTAGTGTATTAACTGTGTCAGTGAGACCTAGTGTATTAACTGTGTCAGTGTGACCTAGTGTATTAACTGTGTCAGTGAGACCTAGTGTATTAACTGTGTCAGTGTGACCTAGTGTATTAACTGTGTCAGTGTGACCGGGTGTATTAACTGTGTCAGTGTGACCTAGTGTATTAACTGTGTCAG